CCGTTTGTTCATCCTGCTTGCTTTGATGCCCCTCACTTAGCCTATGGGGGTGTGTCAAATGTTGACATTTGTTATAGTCTGTAGTGAGGTGCTGTGTAGTGGGTACAACTCAATTAGACTGTCATGCTTGTACTCCCCTCCCTTGCGACTCTCGACATTCCGTTGCACTCTACTTCTAAGAAAAGCTGACTTCGTGGTCGGGTGTGTGGTAGATGCAGCCGACCCTCTCCAGTATGGGGGATTTGAAGCTTCTGCGCAGGTTGGGTTGGTACAAAGACCTCGTGCACAAGTTGAAGGGTTGCCTGTACACGAGGTATACTAGGGAACCCATGCAATAGTAACTGAAGCACCCGCGAGTGCAGCGCAAACGTCTCGTGTACATGTGCAAGTGGCGCAGATGGTGCAGAGGTTCGCGGGTGTTCAACTGCGCTGGGTCGCGTCTGATCCTGCGCACCCTCAGGAATGCACAAGAGAATTTCAGCTAGAATTTCGATTGTGCCCTAATTTCGACCAATGAGGAGCCAGAATTTCGACCTAGGTGGTCGACAAAGGTGAAGGACGAAGGTCGTCGACCCGCGACGACGAAAGGTTGTCGACCCGCGACGACGAAGGTCGTCAACCTATGATGACGAAAGGTCATCAACCTGCATGGTTGCCGGGGACTTTACCCGGTTGGCCGAGTTACCTGCTTGACGAGGTTCTGCGGAGGTGCGCGAACGTCGTCGAGGTTCCTGTGGCGAAGTGGACCTACGTGCCAGCACGTAGTCGACGTGGCTCGTCAGATGCAACCGTCGGCATGTGGCTGACAACTTGTGCAATGTGCACGACAGAGCACGTGGTGCGTGCGCGTAGTGACACGCATGGTTATCGCAACTCTGCGCGACGGAGTGGTGGCGGACCCTCGTGGACGGAAAATGCGTCAACGGTACGCGATGGTGGAATTGCTCCGGAATACGGATACTTCAAGTTCTCACCCGACAAGATCGTCGTGCCGAAACTGCTTGAAGGGCGTCACGACTTGACAACGTGGGTCGAGTCCATTGAGCCGCAGTTGGAGATCGCGCAACTGAAGAAGTTCGTTGACGGCACGGTGGAGGTGCCGCCTGAGGATGACGCTGAGCGGTGCGCACAGTTTCATTCCGCACGGCTGTTGACGTTTATGGTCATCTCAAGGTGTTGCTCGCCGGCCGTCCAAGTTGCTATATGTATCCCAATGTTTGCTAGTGAACCCCCTTTTCTCTGTTCTCATTTCTCTTTCGTAAAACCTAAACCCTAGCCATGGCTACTAAGCTCTAGCTAGGTTTCTGACACTGGTATGCAGAAATCAGCGCCTGGTATGCAGAAACCGGCGCCTGGTATGCAGCAACCGGCAGGGGAGCAGGTGACAGGGGAGCAGACCAGCGGCAGCTCATCGAGCGACGTTGTGGAGGTCATCGGCGAAGCTGCAGGGGAGTCTTCTGGAGACAGTTCCACCCGCTCCAACTTTGGTGTGCCTCCAAAGAAATGGGTCGATATGTGCCCGGTATTCGCTAACACGCTTCTTGATGACGCAAATGCGGATACCACGCTGCCAGAACTGGATCCCGATATGCATGCTGATCCTGAACGACGGTGGGATATCTCAACGATGACCGTCAAGGAGGCGCTTACGTACATCCCGCCTAGCGAGCAACCCGCGGATGATTTCACGAAGGCGCTGCATTCCCCGGCATTTAAGCGCTACTCTGTCGCCGTTGGGCAAGTCGATTTTTCAGACGACGCGCGTGACAACGCGCAGGATTAGGTGCCATGTCCTTCAACATGGCTGGTGCGGTGAGTATGCGTGTGCTGAAAAGACGTGGACGAGTATCAGGATCGTCACCCTGTTGTACTCTATTATTTCCTTTCGCTTTGTGTGGTGTGCTAACCCCTCTGTTGCCGAGGCACGAGCAGGGCAGGGGAGTGTTGAGGCTAAGCCCTGCACGCGCCTGGTTTCGCGTGTAGCAGCCCTATGCGGAGTAGCGAGACTTCGCATACCGCATACCAGTTTTACCTGTATTGCGGTATTCGCCATGTACACTCCAATCTGTGCGCTTCGGTATGCACATTTCGACATTGGACCAGGGAAGTGACGACATTGCACAAACGCGTATGTGCAACTGTCAGTGTTGCAAGAACCTGCGCAACTACTCCTGGGCAGGTAGAAATACATTTGATGGTGTTTTCACCTGATGGTATTTTCACCTGGCGGTCCCAACCTGGAACCGCATACTAGGGTAGGTGCTTGCACGTTCTCCTTGAACAACGTTCTTCATGAACGACGTTCTCGTAGAACGTTCTCGCACACGTCAATATGTTTCTCTATAAGGTTCATGTTGTTTCTGTTGTAATCAATCAACATAATCAATTAATCAATTTCGTTCCTTCACTTACTGCATACCAACTTTGGCATCAGAATTCGGTTTCCAACAAGTCCGTATTCGGTTTACAAGCATCCGCTTTGCAAATCTGCGCCTAGGCTCTCCCACAATCGCCTATTCTCCGCAGGACCCGCTTTATGAGGCGCTCGAGACGATGGTGAAGTCCAAGGGGGCCGTGACGAGTCTCAACGCCATGTCTGCCAACGCCAAGAATGCCATGTCCCGCCTGGCAAAGTACATGGCGATCCGCGAATACATCTCACCCGAGGATATGGCATCCGGCAGGGTGAGTTCTTATCCAGCGGTACTAGCCGACAAGCTCGCGCATTTCTGCGTGTGTAATGCTCATTTCGAAATGCTCATGTATGTGTTCCTACACTATGATCATCATCGTTCACCATGAGCCTGTTTTCCATTCCGAGCAGTACAAGGACGGACGGTTCAGCCTAAACACGTTGGTCAACCAGCCAGTGTATCTCTACAGCAACCTCACTGGCACCGGCGATGGCAAAGGCTTGGATGCCATCTTCATTGGGTCCGACAGAGGACCCATCGAAGCCATTAGATCAAATGCGACTAACGATGCCAACACCGCAAGTTTTTATAGGGTTGGGGGAGACGATGGAGGGCCGAAGGCAGTGGCGCGTGTAAAGGCGGCTGGTGGTCAGGGAACGACTGTGAAAATTCTTGGCAAGACCACGTCATCTTCTGATATGGGAGCTATTGAGGTCTCTAGCGCGGTGTTCCCCGCCAACATGGGCTCCCTCACCAGCTACGATGCCGTGTCACCGTACGACAAAGGTACGCCGCCCTGGAGTGTATAGATGCTACAAGCTGGCCCTTCTGTGGTTCTCAGTGCAATGCCGCAAGTAGAAGTTGGTATGCAATGGCGTGCCGCAGTAGCCTGGCTGTTGTTGTCTTGTGTTGACAGGTGCCATAGTGGATGCCAATGCGTTGAGACAATACCAACATGTCAGATTTATTTTTTACCAAGTTTTGATTTTTTTTTTTTTTTTTTCTGTGACTGTGCAGGTGCTGGTACTGTTGCCTTGTATGGGAGCTCCATGGCCCTGGTTATTTCTATGATTGCAGCCCTTTTGCTAGTTTGAATATAGATCGAAGCACAATAAATAAGTCTTCTTGCAGGTTGCGTCTTTTCTACACCATGCTTGATCTAGTTTCTTTTGTTTGTCCAGTTTTGAGTGTGTTTTCGGCTTGGTTTGTTAGAAGTAGCTATCCTGCCACATTCTTGGCTTTCTATCTGTGTGTTTGCTTTGTCAATGAGTCATATCTCGTCTGAATACCTTACCCTTAACCTTATATACCCTAAACTCGCGGTCTTGCATAACGCGTACAACACTCCGAGTCATTTTTACCTAACCGCGCACTACTGTAATTGGCCGCGTCGGCCTACGCTTCAAGATTACCGGTAGTTCGAGCCTAGCTGCCAGCATTAGCTCGTAAACCCGCTTTACTGTTTAGATTTTCTCTATATATGTTAGCTAATGATGTGTAATGAGTTCTCACATTGTTCTATCGTTTTCCCCTTAGGTGGAGTCCTAGCTTTCTTAATCAAATACACTCGTAACAAAGCTTCAACCTAGCAACGCGAAGTTCGCTGCTCGTCCCCCGTCCATCCCGTTGCAATGCGTTCAGCCTGTCGAGGGAATGACGCGGCTCCAAATTCTTGCTTGCAATTGCTCGCACTGCTGTACTTGTTCTCTTGCATGCATGCCAGAAAACATAAAATTCAACACTTCCAAGCTGGAATAAGTGGTTAGAAAATCATCCGCGCCACACTGGCAAGGAAATCTAGACCAGTAGCAGCAGCAGTTAACTTTTCCTCCATCTTCACACTCGGCGTCGCGCGCTCCGACACTCGTCTCCGATCGGAGCACGCTCTGCCAGCACAGCCAGGAAAGCAAAGCTAGCTGCTGACGCGCACCTACCAAACGCGTGTCACCTCACGAAGACCCAATGGAAGTCGTGGTTCATTCTGGAACCTCCACTACTTACTTATTCCTAACCTCGCGATCCTCGCAAACATGTCACGCCTTCGAGATACTCGATCAAGCCGAAGCAGCACAGCGGGTGACAGTGGCAATTTGTTCCTTGCCCGGAGCGCTTTGTGACCCCCAAGATTTTATTCATCCCGTCCAAACCAAACAGGAAATAGTGGTAATTTAGCAGCGCTTTAGTAGCATTCCGGCGCTCCGCCACCCACGACCCGTTAAGCTGCTGTGTCTTACACGTCTGTGACTCGTCGCTCATAATAGAAGTGCTGGTGGTTCTTGGGAAGAGTACTCCTGCTTTCAAGTTTTTCGCTTAAGCCTCTGCTGCTGCTGCGGCATGGCTGCTTCCGGTATTCCAGCCGCCCTGTTCAAGCCATGGACATCTTTTGGAGAAGACTCTGCAAATAATCCGTCACCGTGGCGACCGCAATATCACATTTCCAGCAGTCACGGAGATTCCGCCAGTTCCGCTGCCAGTAGCTCGGTGCACGCCCATCAGGCAAATGACCCGTCCCACACGGAACCCCTCACCCAAGGAACTTCAAATCCTGGAAAGCTCACAATAGTAGAAGGGCTACTCCAAAAAAATATGCCACAGGCAGGAGTGTCGGGTGACGTGATGGCGACAGCAATTTCCTCCTCGAGTGGTCGCGGTAACGGTGGTCTATCGGAGCTCCTAACCTGCTTCTGCGTCGCTGTTCTTGGCGCTTTAGCCGCAACTCTCGCCCAATTCGTCGCGGAAACCTTCCTCTACCACCTGCTCACACTGCTGGAGCGCCGACTCCCATCTCTCGGCGTGCGCCGAATCATCCCCAACGTGCCCTTCCGCCTCACGCACTTCACCCGTCAGAACTTCCTCGCTGTCTTCGTCTCCCACCTCCCACTCTTCCTCCTCGTTGGGTTCCTCCGGGAGGGTATCGTCGCACGCGCTGAGCTGGTGTTTCCTCCGCGCGTGTTGCCTACATGGGCGTTGGCGTGGGGCATCATGGTGGCGCATGATGCGTGGTTCTTCTGGACACACTCGCTCATGCACGTGAATAAGACGCTGTACCGTGCGTTACATGCCATGCACCACCGCACCACCACTGATCTCGGGGTTTTCTCCACCTCCAATGCTGGTGAGAAAGCAGCCATTTATGCAACCATTTGTTGCATTCATGGTGACGAGGAATTTTTCTCGATCTCCTCACACTGCTGTTCTATGTCTCCGCCTATTGTTATTCCAATAGTTTTTACCAAAGAAGACAAGCAGAACCCATGAGTGAATCTGTTTCTTTCTCGCCCTGCCTAGTTCTTTCCTGCTCTGTGTCACCCCCACACCCCCCTCCCCCCCCCCCCACCCTCCTCCCCGCCGTGTAATCATCACAGATCCCTTCGAGTTCCTGCTAGATTGGTCGGCCTTCTACATGCTCTTTGTCCTCCTCCTCCACTCCCTGCCCTCCTGGCGTCCCCTGGAGCTAGCCCTAGCTCTCATCCCAGTGGGCATGGTCAACACCATGGGCCACTGCGCCTACCATCTTCCCGCCTTGGTCTTTGTGCCTCTCTCCTATGGCATCCTCCTCACTCCCGGGGCTCAGCGCCCCACCACTCACTTCCTCCACCACCTGGATCCTCGCTATAATCGGTCCCTGTATTTCACTTGGTGGGACCAGATGGTGGGGACGTTCAAGGATGGGGATGAGGAGTTTCGTGCGAGGAAATGCAGGCACGATGGGAGGAAGGGAGTAGCTGGTTGTGTAGGGGTATGCTTCGAAAGAAAAGCAACTGTACCATCTGATTCAGGAAAACAAGGATTTCCATGAGATTTTGATGTGGTATTGATACTCTTACTGTACATACCAATTATATCACTCACTTTAGCAATGCAATATCAATTGCTGTGCTCATGTTATTTTACGCTTGGCAAATCGATGGACACAAGAATATAACTCCAAGAATCATCTCATTGCTTTGACAGGCAACGACAGACAAGGGGATACAGTAGGCTATGCGGACACAACCAAAACACGTCAAAGCCCAAGCAATCGCAGCACGCAGGGGACCAATGAGAACACCAAACCACCACCTCCAATCCACCACTCCACAGGTAGACAGGCTTGCATAAGCCAGCCACAGTGTACCAGCCACTACCCTTTTCCCTTCTACGCCATGCGCTGCACACGTGCAGTTGTTGGGATTGCCGCGGAGGCGCTTAGAACAGGGAGGTGGACTTGCCCTTCTTGTCTCCACCAATCTCGAAGTGCTTGCAACGCTGGTGGCCACAGGGGAGGAGCAAACAGGACATGGATTCAATGGGGAAAAGGGGAAATGAATGAAACGAGTCAGCAAAAACAAGGCATGAAGAAGATAGCCAGGGGAAAGACAGACGAGGGAGGGTGGGAGGGGAGAAAAAGGTAGGCAGCGGGGGCGGGGGAGAGGGAGGGTAGAGAGAAGACAATGAAATGGGAAGAGTGAGGGAGTGAGGGATTGGCAGAGGGATAAAGCATAGAACTAGGATTAGAAGCAGCTCATATGTGCTGAAGCAAGTCCAGACAAACGACTTGGGAAAAGGCGCATGCAATGACAGGTACAATATGCAATTCACACTACTGTCAGTTTCCCCTCCCTTCCCTGCCTGTCCTGCCTGCGCTTGCCTCCTGTCGTGAGAGGCCTCGCACCCTCCAGAACACGCGTCACCGCACCACCATCCATACAAGCGATACAGACCAGCCACAAAACAGCAAGAAACCACCCTCCCCACCAACGGTGGGGCCCACACCACACCACAACCGGTCCTTTCCTTGCCCTGGTGCCACCCCGCAGGCCCTCCTTTCCTTGATCACCACCTCATCCATCCCTACCCTCCACTTATTCCAAATCCACGTCATACCAAGGTGTTGCGCACGCGCAGTGGTGACACTGTGATCCATCCATTCACGAAGCTCTACTTTCCATTCTATGATACTACGCTCCCTTGGCTACCAGTGCATCCCACACTCAATCCCAAGCACACCACCAACCCCTTACCCTGCCCCAGCAACCCCCCCACTCCCCCCACCTACTTCCTCTCTTCCCAATTCCACTTATTACTTACCACTCCCGTTCCCTCTCGCATGACTCCCCCTGAACACCCGCTTTTGTAAGAACCAAGCCCCATTTCTCCAGGCCCCTCACCTAGAGGGGGATCTGGTGCATGTCCCCTACATATCCCCCCTCCCCTCCTCCCCCTTCTACACCACTTCCTCCACTCTTTCCCTTGAGAACAAGCCCTAGCTAGTACCTTGATGGGCGTCTGGTGCATGTGCTTGCACGACTGGCACTGCAGCCTCAGCACAATCTTCTTCGTCGTCTTGGCCTGGTGGGGAGAGAGCGAACGACCGGCAAGGAAGCAGTTTCGCGTGGGAAAGGGGGACGCGGTGAGTTCGAGAAGAAACGTGAGGAAAGCAGCTAAAAGGTGGTTTGACCGCGAATAGACGATAAATCGCGGGAAGAGGAGATTGAGGGGCGGCGACGAAATGGAAGAGGCATGGGAGTAAAGTGGATGCGGTAAACATGGAAGGGAGGGGAAAAAGGGAAGATAAGACTCCATAAACAAGGTACGCGTAAGGCAAAGTGAAAGGTGCAACAGGACTCGAACGCTGAACGGAAGCAAGAGAGAGGAACGCAGGCGAAGACGGTAGGTTCGGCAAAACCTCGTCCCGCAAAAGCAAGCACCCTAGCAAAACCATCTCCGCAACCAGAGTTCAACCTCTGACGCCCCCCCCCCATCACAATGTGGCCTTGCTTGCCCTTCCCCGCTTCTCCTTCGTTTCCCGAAACAGCTTCGCCTTCAGACCTCCCACGGGGCTTATAGATCCCCAGTCAAACTGAGCAGCTACACAACTTATCCCATCTAAGTCACTATTTCGCCACGCCGCCTCGCCGTCTCCACGCTTTCCGAATCCCACCCCTCTAATTTTCCACCCGTCGCCTCTCTTTCCTTCCTGCCTGGCTACTAGGCTACTTGGAACTGGAATTCATCCATTCAAGAAAAAGTGTCGCGATCAATCAAAGTCACGACGGTACCGACGGGAGGAAAGATAAGAATTGAAGAAATAGTGAAGTAAAAGAAAGGACTGCGATTCTGACCTTCTTGTGGAAGACGGGCTTGGTCTGTCCACCATAGCCGCTCTGCTTCCTGTCGTAACGCCTCTTTCCTGCCATGTCATCAGGCAGTACGATTAGGGTTAGGGAGGAAACAAACGAGACTATGGGAATTAAGATCCAAGCACCCGAGAACGAAAGTCAACTCGCGTAAATATCGATAAACGGGCGATAAAAAAAGGCTCTAACAGACGCATGCTTGCCCTAATCCGCTCCGCCAACATGGTTTTACCGATCTGAATCAACACCACTATGTGATCGTGCTCCGATCGAACAATGAGAAAACATGAAACGACAGGCTACCATTACCGAGCCCAGAAAGTTGCCGACCGCAGAACCTGCATGCGGTTTGAAGAATAACCGGCGTCGCGTACCTTGCGCGTAGACGCTATCCTTGCCCTTCTTGTACTGGGTAACCTTGTGGGTGGTGTGCTTCTTGCACTTGCCGCCGCAGTACGTCTTCTTCGTCTTTGGCACGTTCACCTGTGACAATATCGCGGGGAAACGGCAACCACCCCCATGATAAGAAATGGGGGATTCGGAAAATACGCCGTGCACAAGAGATCGTAGGCTAAAGGAGCGATTATAATCTGTACGGTATCCCCCTATCGCGCGACTTCAGTAAAACCAAGGATACGTAGCCATATTTCTCGCATGCTCCGCCATTACTGACCATGGTTGCGGCTCGACAACGACAGGGAAGGGGGACCAGGCACAGTGCCTCTGTGTGACACGTGGATGCCTTTGCGGAGAGAACGGCGACGAACTAGCGTCGAGATACAAGGAGGCGAGAGAAGGGAGAAATGGAAGGAGGGGGTGAAAACCCTCTCCGAACAGGCAGTGGAGGGGAGAGGATGCAGCGGAGCAGAAATAAATTCATATCCTTTTAAGCAGCGCACTCATTTCATGCCGATTGTTATGTCACACGTTGTGTTACGTGTATCGAAGAACCTCGTACCGTACTTGGGTCGCTGGTGGTACGCCACGCTAGGACTCGCGCCAGCTGCCTTTGTATAAAAAATGACAACAACACTGTATCTCCCACAACACTGTATTTCCCACAACACTGTATTTTAATCTTAAGAACAACATACCATACTATAACACTATTTGAATAATTTAGATATGCATACTCAGAAAGGAATAAAATCCAATAGCTTAAAATTAGGATCTGCAATGCTAGAAGAAAAGTCTCCTGTAAATATGAGGTTTACTAATATACACAGAATAGTAGTAAGCACCATTGTATACACATAATTTATGGGCAGGCGTAATGTTTATAACAGCACACACTGATGCAACAAAGTTGTCTAACAAAAGAACCATGTAACCTCCATGAAAGTGGCACTCAATGTCTAATTTCCAATCACAGTCCGGAACCATGTGGTATACCAGTAGGCTCAAGGCAGACCTCAAATTCTCTGCACAAAACACCATTATGGGTGGCACCTTCAAAGTGTATCTAAGCCGATCCATGATCCTATCCTCTTCCTCCTAAACCAAGCCACCGCTTCCGAAACTACTTCAGGAGGTGGTGTCATGTCCGACCCTTCGTACTCCACATACTTGAGATGGTAACCACACCTCCGGAGCTTAGGTACAAGCTCCTGACTACACACATCGATGCCCCGATCTGGGACAGACGTCCCATGTGATATAAAGATGTCAGGGCCGTCTTGGTAGCACGGCAAGTCTATCATTCCAGGTGTGAACGCCATGACATGACTGCCATGTAGGGAGGAAGAAGGGGGAAAAAAATGTTAACAAAAAGAGTGCGCACAATAACGTTTTGTGCCACAGAACACATACCTAAACAGCTGACTATTCCGCAGTCCCAGAGCCATAGCCATCGTTCCTCCTTCAGAAAACCCTGAGAGGCACACGCTCTCAGGGTCTACCGAGAAGCGATTGAATGCAGTCTCCATTGCCCTGCAACACATTTAAAACTTATGCGAACGTGTAAGCAGAAGAAACTGAATCCAGCGAATGTGAATGTGCAAGTGGAAGCACCCCAATAATACCACCACGAGTGGCAGAGCCTACTTATCAATGAAAGTTGCATCCATGTTCGCGCCTTCGAAGGAGCAATCCCACAGGACATCTCGAGCGTCTGGAGCCACCAAGAGGAGACGATGCTGCTCCGCATACTGCACGAACGGAGCGAGGGCTTCCTTGGCATCTCCCTCTTCTGTATGCAGCGCCACGAGAATCGGACATGGGCTCGCTTCGGTGTATGTGCTGGGAACGTATACCAGACCGTCTGGTCCTCCCCTGCGGTCCAACCAAACGGCAAGAATCAGAATCATGGGGGAACAAGTTCGCTCTCGAAAACGCCTCTCCAAACTTCAGTTTATCAACATGTTACCCTGAATTTAGGCCAAGGGGAAACGCCTCTCCAAACTTCAGCGGTTTGCAACAATCACAAGGCGTCCCTGGCGTTGCACTCGGAGGGCAAACCAAGGAGCGCCAAGGGCTCGACGGTTTCGATGATAAGGACGGAGAACGCGCGATTGGATCCGCCTGAAACTTGAAAAACACCTTCCTGCTGCCGTTTTCGTTCGGATCGAAAACTGTACCATTGCTTTCCTCTACAGAAACAGCATCATCAGCCATGACTGCTCTTCTCAGACAGCTCTGGGACAATTGGTGCAAAAGAATCGAAGAAACAAACTTCGAACTCATAAACGAGAGCGTGGGATTCAACCTCGCTTACCGCCATCGCTTGAATCCTGGGACCAGTGGGCGTGAGCAAGAGGAGCGCCATGGAGTTTGCGGTGGCATTCACTGGCGAACATGAAATTTGAATCAAACGCCATGCATCGAACATTTCATTGCATGCCGCGGTCAATGACTCAGCGCGCCATGCAGCAAGGTGGGAGCTACTTGAAGTCCCGTTATGGCTGCTTCGTGAAGCGCCCAGTCTCCAACCCCCTCTATCACTCCTTCCGTGTTCTATCTTAGAATAGCACCTACATTAAAGTATTGCTGTGCGGAATATGAAATCTGTAACGAAATGTATTCTGTAATATTTAGCAGCTGGCGCAATGATAGTTCTTAGATATATATTGTTATAAACCATATATATTTTCCCTAGAATAGGGCAACGTTATGAGAGACACGAAAGACAAATTCGTATGATCCGCTATTAACAATCTTATAGCAAGGAAACCCGTCATGCCGGTTGTGCAGTCCAGTCAGCAGTTGGTGTACGGTGTTTTCCTCCTTCCCATCCAATCAAAAAACAGATCCGACAGTTGCTGCAGCTCACCAGTTCAGGGACCCAAACACCTACTACAAAATTTAGTCAGCTCGTGGTTCTCGAGAGATCAGGGCAGCCAGGACGAGTCCCGTCCCGTGGATTTGTAGAGTGCTGCCGACCCTCTCATTCCGATCTGCCGCTTGGAACTCTATACTCATCGCGTCGCCCTGCCGCGAGGTGTTTGACCATGCACGTGTGAACGGCGAGCGTTGCTCTTGAGGATTCTTCTTGGCTGCTCAGGTCCTGTGCTTCCTTCCTGTTCGACAGGTGTATACTCCGGTTCCCTTCTGGTCGACATTCCTCACATCCACCGTCACGGCCCCCTTGCCGTTATTCTAGTTCCCACGATGGACCGATCGCGGCATCACAACCGTAGATTCGATTCCTCGTGCAACCAACCTCAAAATACCCACCTTTTTTCTGTGCGTAAACAATCTACACCGTTTTGGCGATCCGTCGCACCGCTGCTCGTCGTGGCGCTGCTGCAAGTCGTGGCGACGACGCCGACGACGTCTGCGATGGACGACGGCACGTACTCGCATGTGCTCACCATGACGACGTTCAACGACAGCCTCGCCGCTGCCAAGGAGCCCTGGGCGCTCGTCGAGTTCTTCGCCAGCTGGTATGCGAATGGTTATGGGTAACGCCATTCCAGATTTATGGAAAATAAATAAAAAGAACAGCAAAGGGGTGAGCCGGGATTGCTTTCGGGTGGAACGTTTGGAGGGATGGAATGGCAATGGGGCGGGCTCAAGCGGAGAGTAAGGGAGTCAGGGATCAAGTCGGGGATAGTAAGCGGGGGTTGAGAGAGCGGACGCGCGACGGAGCGAAAAAGAGATAATGCAAAGTTTGATAGAATTGTAAGAGATTAGGTGGGGGGGATCAGGAGAGCGCATGTAGCACGTGAACGGGGAAGATACATTGCGTGAGGCTTACGCCGCGAGCGAATGTGCTTGTGAGCTCGATACTGCACATTGGTTCCCCGTTCCCCGTTCTCCCTTTCCCGTGTTCTCTGTTCCCCATTCCCCGTTCCCCATTCCCCATTCCCCATTCCCCGTTCCCCATTCCCCATTCCCCATTCCCCATTCCCCGTTCCCATTCCCCATTCCCCATTCCCCGTTCCCCATTCCCCATTCCCCATTCCCCGTTCCCCATTCTCCATTCCCCATTCCCCGTTCTCCATTCCCCATTCCCCGTTCTCAGTTCCCCCTTCCCCGTTGTGCGCGTTGGTCCTTGGCCTTACTATGCCAACGCAACCTTGACGTCATTCGTCACCTCCGTTTTCGTCTCTTCTCACCCCGCCTCCTTTCCCCCCATTCCCCCCTTCCCTCCCTCCCTCCCTCCCTCCCCTTCGATGCCTGTCTCCCCTCCTGCCTGCTTGTTTCCTCGAACCCCTATCCCAGGTGTCCCGCCTGCCAGTATTTCAAGGTGAGTGCTGCTCCCTTCATGGCCCATTGTCCCTATTTTTACATACTCTGCAACTCTGCTGTTGTGCTGCTCGCTGTGCATGATTTCTGTCTTGGTTCCCTTCCTCCACCAACTCACCTTTCTCTCTGTATCTCTCCATCCCCTCCCCTCCCCCCCCTTCCCACCCTCCCCCCGCCCTATCTTAGCTTCTCGTTTTCGTTAATTTCTTGTCTCCCCTTTCGCTCCTTCCTTCCCTCTCCCTGAGACGTCTCAGAACTCATAATTCCCCGCCTTTCCTATCTCACGCCACTCTCTTTCTCTGCCACTCCACCCTCATCCCCATACTCCTCGTTCCCCGTACCCTTTCTCTCTCCATCTCCACGTGTCTCTTTCAATCTTGCACCACGGCAGCCGGAGTACGAGCAGGTGGCGCGGCTGTTCAACTCGCCCTCCTCGCCCAACTCAGACTTCATCTACGTTGCTAAAGTCGACTGCGCCTCTGATGTGAGTCCAACCAACAGGCCACCGATTGCCACACAACCACATCTCTCCCCGCCTCCTCCCCCTTCCCCACTTCTCTCCGTTTCTTGTCACCCACGCACGCTCTCATCCCGTTGTCAACCCCTCCCGTCCCCCCCTTCCCTTCTCGTCCCTCCTTCCCTCCCTGCTTTTTAATCGTCTCCCCCTTTACCCCCAGTAATGATTATTTTTACACACTCCTTCCCCTCCTGCTTTTCGATGTTTTCCCTCCTTTCCTAGAATGCCCTCGCCTGGTTTTTCTTGCTTCCTCTTGCATCCCCTTGCATCCCCCCCCCCCCCCCCCCCCCCCCCCCCAACCCCACACCCCTCCCATCTCGCCAGTGCCTGCTGTGCTGCTGTGCACGCGGTTTGAAATTAGCAGACTATGTTCTTCGGCTTTCCTTTTCGTCTCAAAAGTCGCTCCCTCTCTCTCCCTCCTCCTCCCCTCCCCGTCCCCCCTCCCGCCAGGGTCTGCTGTGCACGCGGTTTGA